CCCATCAGACTCCGTTCTCTCAGCCCTGCCTATGGTTTCCCTCCTGCCTCCATCTCAATCTGTTTGTCCACTAAAATGTCCTAGGGTCGGGGGGAAGAGGAGGCTTTAAAAATACACATTTCTTAAAACAAAAAATAACAGGTTTCTGACACTCAAGCTAACTCTTCTGAATCTCACCCTCTGGGGAGGAGAACCAGGAAGGTGTGCATTCAGAAAACACCGTGATTGATTTTTGTTTGCAGCTGGTACAGGAGCAGCATTTGAGAACCACTGCTCCATGACCAAAAGTAACCCCTCCTCTTCCCTCCCACAGCAATGAGAAGTACACCTGCCCTGGGCCCCAGATCCTCACCTCCTCACAACTCAGGTCTATCACTCATTCTTGTCTGTATCTTCACCCACACCCTTCCCACTGGGTTTTTCCCAACACCTTTTAAACATGCTAAGCCTCCTCTCCACTTAAAGAAACTCCCCCAGCCTGGCGCAGTGGTTCACGTCTATAGTCCCAACACTTTGGGAGGCCGAGGCAGGCGGATCACGAGATCAGGAGATCGAGACCAACCTGGCCAACATGATGAAACCCCATCTCTGCTAAAAATACAAAAATTAGCCAGGTGTGGTATCGCACACCTGTAGTGCCTGCTACTTGGGAGGCTGAGGCAGAAGAATCGCTTGAACCCAGGATGCAGAGGTTGGAGTGAGCCGAGATCACACCACTGCACTCCAGCCTGGTGACAGAGCAAGACTTCATCGCAAAAAAAAAAAAAAGGAAACTCCCCCTTACACCTGCGGCCACCTCTGACCACAACTCACTCTCTTGATTCTCAGAACTGAGATCCTGGAAGCACCTTCCAAGCTCACTGTCTCCCATTTACATCCCACTCATTTCTCAGCTAATTATAATCTGAATTCTCTCCCCAACTATTCTGGAAAGGTTCTGGGGGGCCTCTTTCTTTCCCACAGGTCGCACTTCAGGCCTGTTGTGAAAATCTCTGCAGCGTGTAATGCTATCAGCCACTCTTCCCTGAAATTCTCTCCTCCCGGGTGTCCCCCTACTTCCTTGGCCATTCCTCAGTTTTCTTCCCTGGCACCTACTCTTCTCCCTCTTTAAAGTTTAAAATGTTCACAAGTTCTGTCCCTAGTTCTTGTCTCACCTTCCACTGTTCCCTGAAAGACTTCACCACACACCTCTTAGGAACTGCTCACTCCAGCCATAACCACCCCTCATTCATTCCCTCCTGCCTCTTTGCCAAGCCCTGTCCAGTCTCTGTCCCTCCCAGAGGCCTTCTCCACACTATGATGCCTGCCAAACTCTGCAAAGTCAGTCCAAATATTGCTACATTGGGAAGTCTTCCTTAACTGTGCCTCCCCACAACCAGCCCACCCCCTGCAATAAACCCACAGCACCGAGCACAGACGTTCTTTTCAAAAAAGTTTTGCCCCAATAGACACTGAACTCCTTGAGAGTGGGAACTATATCTGGAAAATATTAGGCATGCAATTAATGTTGGCTGAGTCCATCATTACACAGTGAACATACTGTGAGGTAAACAGGAGCTTATTAATAAATGCAGTAAATGATACACATATTACTCAACATAGAGCTGAATGACAGCACTGGTCTATAAGTAAGGAATCTAAAATAAGTCATGATCACTAATCCTACGCAGTGTTAGGGCCGGGCGCGGTGGCTCAAGCCTGTAATCCCAGCACTTTGGGAGGCCGAGACGGGCGGATCACGAGGTCAGGAGATCAAGACCATCCTGGCTAACATAGTGAAACCCCGTCTCTACTAAAAAATACAAAAAACTAGCCGGGCGAGGTAGCCGGCGCCTGTAGTCCCAGCTACTCGGGAGGCTGAGGCAGGAGAATGGCGTGAACCCGGGAGGCGGAGCTTGCAGTGAGCTGAGATCCGGCCACTGCACTCCAGCCTGGGCCACAGAGCGAGACTCCGCCAAAAAAAAAAAAAAAAAAAAAAAAAAAATCCTACGCAGCGTTACCCGGTCATAATTACGTGACTGGGCAGACAGCAATACAGTTTCAAGCACTTGAAACAGCCACAGCAGGGTGTTTTCAACTGTATTGCTGTCCCCTTTCTTCAAAATGAAGAGTTTTCAACAAACTCTAATATGGCTGGCCCCTTCACACCATCTGGGCCTCAGCTCAGCGTCACCTTCCCAGCTACCCTCCATGATCATGCGTGCTAAAGTGGTCCTCCACCATAACTTCGGTGTTTGCAGTTACCCTTTCATTGTCTTCATGTCACTTGTCACTATGTGAATCACACTGACCTGTTTGATGCTGGTCTCCTTTATCCCGCTTATTACTTTATCCTCTGTATATCAACAATGTGTGGCTGATATGGGTACTCAACAGACACTTGTTGAATGGCTGAGAGAGAAAGGCAAGTTTAACACTAAATCACTATTATCTACTAACCACAAAACGTTAGAAACATGCAGGTGGCAGGAAATGTCAGGGATTTCTCCCTGGAAAGGGACTGTTATTCACCACCCATGGGGGTGGGGATAGGCACACGTGTCATCCTTCTTTCAGATTCTTACTCAGGATCAGAATTTTGATTTGCTAAAGGGTCCCTCAACTTATCTAAAGGAAATCATGGGCAGTGGCTCACGTCTGTAATCCCAGCACTTTGGGAGGTCGAGGAGGGAGGATCACTTGAGGTCAGGAGTTCAAGACCAGCCTGGTCAACACGGCAAAACCCCGTCTCTACTAAAAATACAAAAATAGTCAGGTGTGATGGTGGGCACCTGTAATCCCAGCTACTTTGGAGGCTGAGGGGGAAGAATCGCTTGAACCCGGGAGGTGGAGGTTGCAGTGAGCCGAGATCTGCCACTGCACTCCAGCCTGGGTGACAGAGTGAGACTCCATCTCAATAAATAAATAAATAAAACGAAGGAAATCACTTCCCCCTCAGTGGGTAGCTTCTCCAGAGAAAAATGTTAAAGCTGACACACAGCCTTTTCTAATGACCAGTCCTGGAAAACTGTGCCCAAGCTCCGTCAGCACCATAAGCACTGAGACCAGGACCTGCTCATTGCTGCATTCCCAGCACCTAGCCCAGTTCATTGCCCAGAGGAGATGCCCAAAATGTTTGTAAAACGAGCATGTAAGACACAGCCTTCTGAGGAACGGCCATCCCAACAACTCTTACACTGCAGAGGCACTTAATTTTAGAAACAGGCCAAGACAGCTGCAGAGGGGCTCTGGGCCTAGGTCTCTCCCTGGGCAACAGTTTGATTCCTAGAATTCAACACTCACCACCATGCGCCATAGATAATAAAATATTATCTTCCCCACAGTCGCCCTGTATCAAATTTGAATACACTTGGCCAATATAATCTCATGGCTAATACAGTACAGCAACCAATAACAGATTTCTCTTGCCCTTCAAATTTTTTCTATGTACTTTGGCTAGCAAGAATAGATCTAAATGCTAAAGAACAACAGAAATTGAATAATTCTACCATTAATTTCATAACCACCAGTACCTGGCTCACTGTATGATCCCAGGAAAACCACACCGCCTTCTTGAGCTGTCAGCTTCAGCAACAGTCATAACGCTCTTTATCTACAGGGTAGTTTGGGGAAGATTAGTTTTGTTTTGTTTTTTGAGACGGAGTTTCACTCTTGTTGCCCAGGTTGGAGTGCAATGGCGCAATCTTGGCCCACTGCAACCTCCGCCTCCCGAGTTCAAGCAATTCTCCTGTCTCAGCCTCCCGAGTAGCTGGGACTACAGGCATGCACCACCACACCCCGCTAATGTTGTATTTTTAGCAGAGATAGGGTTTCTCCATGTTAGTCAGGCTGGTCTCGAACTCCTGACCTCAGGTGATCTGCCTGCCTTGGCCTCCCAAAGTGCTGGGATTACAAGCATGAGCCACCAAGCCAGGCTGGGGAAGATTAGTTAGTAGTTGTAACATACTCTGGGACCAATGCATGAAAGATGCCATAAATCAAATTAATTATGAAACAAAAGGAATCATAAATACTGAAACCACTTCAAAACCTGAGAAATTGAGAAGTGAGGAAGATTTAAAATCATGCCTGTGGCTCTGATACTAACTTACTGTCAGACTATAAGACAAGACACGTATTCTCAGAAGATTCATGACATTCCCAACAGATCTTTAATATTTGGAAATGTCAGATGTTTCTGTCCTCCAGCAGCATTAACTTCACACGGAGTATGAACAGTGACAAGCAATTGCAAAATTAGAGCAGTTCTCCGTTGCTGTACCCGTGCCTAACTGTTAACACGCAGTCTACCGTACGCAAAGTCAATTCCACACACTCAGTGAGAAAAGCCGTTCAACTGGCTGTAAAAACACTTCTCCGCCCCCTACCTGCTGACCACCGCTAACACGCCAAGAAAACAGCAACATCCAGCAGCACAGCTGCGCTCCCTCGCCACAACTTCCTAACTTCCCTCCACTTGAAAGCACTCTCATCAGTGTTTGTTTGTCTAAAAACTCTTCTTGGAGACTGGAGAAGAAACACATCCAAGTGAAACTGAGAGGTCAGCTTCTAAAGCGGAGGCTGAACTTTGCCAAGTGGGGGCGGGGGGAGTCAATTCGGTCCCCCAAGAGCCTAAATGAATGGGGCAAGGTGAGGGGGACCGCCCCTTCCTTCAGCGCGGCACAAGCGCCGCAAAGGGCCTGGGGCCGGCCCACGAGAACACCAGGGCACCTGCCCACTTGCAGCGGCCCCAAGAGACTCCTGGGCATCGCACCTGGGGACGCCAGGTGGGGTCCGGGCGGGCAGCGGGGCTTTGTTCCCATTAGCCCCTCCAGGCCGAAATGGAGACGGTTTCCGCTGACCCCCCCAAGACCAGGAACTAGCAGGGTTCGGACGCCAGTCTGGAGGGTCGGCCCCACCACCTCCGGCAAACCCGAGGGTCCCCGCTGCCCCCGCCTCCTCAATGAGGTGCCCAGGGTGGCGTGTAGGGGGCAGCCAGAATGGCGGAGGCCGGTACTCACAGAGCCCACTGGAGCCGGTGCTGGTGAACATGGTCCCGCCGGGCTCGGAGCCCCCGAGGGGGCCGGGGGAGGGGAAGCTGAGGTGGGAGCCCCGGCGACCGCGCAGGCGCACTCCCGGCGGAGCGACGAATCCGGCTCCGCGAGGCCACTCGCCGCGGATGAATGGCGCATGCGCAGCCAGGGGCGTTTGCCCCATGGGTCAGCACCCTCCTTCCTGCCGGGGAAGGGAAGTGCGTCCGTAGGGGAGGGCCCATCTCTCCAGGTTGAAACGATGGCGGTCAGAGCCGCCTGAGGCAAAAACGGGTGGCACTGGGGCAGCGGAGGCGTAGCTCCCGGGAGCCTCACACTTGGGCTCAGTGCCGCCTCACCTCTAGTGGATCCGCGATGGCCGCGGATTCCTCTGGATTGCCGGCGCTGGGCAGGAACGCCATCTCTAATCTCTCCCGAGACTGGACGCCCGGCGCCTTCCCCGCGTGTTGTGTCTTTCCGGGCGGTCCCTCGAAGCTGGCTACCCCGCGGGCTGTTGACTGCAGTGGGATCTGGTCACTCAGATGCGGATGGAGGGGTACGGGAGCCGGAGAGGTGGAACAGGTCCCTCCGGGTGCGGAGAGCTGGGCCGTCCAGCGCCTCTTTGTTCCCTCGTGGGTCCCGCGCGGAATCCCCACCACCGGAGCCGAGTGTCGTGGCCCCAGGAGTCAGCACCCTGCCCTCCCCGCCGTGGTGGCGGGTGTCTGGGGGTCCCCGGCGCGGCGAGCCCGGCGGAGCGACCCAGCACTTGTGCCCTGGCGAGCTTCCCGGCGAGCTTCCGTACTCAGACCATTTAAATTTTTTCCCCTAGAAGAATGAAGTTACTCAGCCAAAGTCACGGTTTTTAAATGAGTGTGAGCATGAAAGCATATTATGCAGTCGTTTTAAAAAGTTTTTTTTTAAGTTGATCTCGTAAAAGTAGAGTAAAAGAGTGATTCTTGTACAGAGGAGAGTTAGTGGGGAGGGAGGATGGGGAGAGGCTGGTCAACAGGCGCAAAGTTACAGTTAGGAAGAATACGTTTTAGTGTTCTCTTGCACATTTGGATGACTATACTCAACAATAATGTTAACTTCAAAATAGTTAGAAGAGAGGATTTTGAATGTTCTCACCACAAAGAAATGACAAGTGTTTCGGTGATGGATGTGCTAATTACGCTGATTAGATCGTTGCACAATGTGTTTATGTATGGAAACATCACACTGTACCCCAGAAATACATACAATTATGTAAGAATGTATATTATGGGGAAATTGACCACACTACCCAGCTAAATGAAAGGGATGGGCTATGGAGTACTTTAAAAAAAAAAAAAAAAAAAAAAAGCTTTTTCAGTGCTCATAAGTGCCAGCCAGTGTGCTAAATCTGAGATTCGTAGATCAACAGTCCCTACCCTCAAAGAGAGGTTCCAGTGGGCCAAAATGTTAACATTGATTATTTTTAGAAGGCAAAAGTATGACTTTTATTTGCTTCTTTAGGCTTTATTCGTAAAGTTCATTTTCACAGTCTTTTTTTTGTTCGTTTGTTTTGAGACGGAGCCTCTCTCCCCCCAGCTGGAGTACAGTGGCGCGATCTCGGCTCACGGAGACCCTCTGCCTCCCCGGTTCAAGCGATTCTCCTGCTTTAGCCTCCCAAGTAGCTGGGACTACAGGCGCCTGACACCACGCTTGGCTATTTTTCGTATTTTTAGTAGAGATGAGGTTTCACCATGTTGGTCAGGCTGTTCTCGACCTCCTGACCTCTTGATCCGCCCGCCTCGGCCTCCCAAAGTGTTGGGATTACAGGCGTGAGCCCAGCCCATTTTCACAGTCTTGAAGTACATTTTACATTGACCTTTAGGTTCGTTTGAGTTATTTTTCAGGAAAACGACAGTCAAAACGTCCTTTATGTTTGCAGAAGCTGTTGATTGGCTACACCCTGACCCATTAAGGGGATGCAAAGTCCAAAACTACTTTCATAGTAATGCTAAGACAGTAGTTTTATTTTCTGCTCTCAAGTATATGGTGGAGTTTTCCACTGTACAGTTGGACCACTGTACAGAGCTACATAACTGGACTTTCCAGTTGACTGTTGCATAATGTTATGAAATCTTATGTGGGTAAAAGATCAATTTGAACCGTAAAATACACCAATAAACTTTAGTGTAACAGTCCAAAATGTTCATTCATATGGTTTCAGATTCCTCATTGCAATTAACCTTTAAGAAACTACCACTTGCTAAGTTATGGTGTAGTATCAAAAAGTAATGTATCATCTGAAAGGGTATTAAAATGCTTCCTTTTCCAACCACGGGGTGTATCTAGGTGAGGCCAGGTTTTCCTCATATGAGTCAACCAAAGCAATGTATCACCACAAACTGAAAGCAGAAGCAGATATGAGGACCCAGCTGTTTTCTATTCAACAAGACATTTGCCTGCCAGACACAGTGGCTTAGGCCTGTAATTCCAGCACTTTGGGAGGCTAAGGCAGACGGTTCACTTGAGGTCAAGAGTTTGAGACCAGCCTGGCCAACATGGCGAAACCCTGTCTCTACAAAAAGTACAAAAAATAGCTGGGTGCTCCAGCCTGGGTGACAGAGCGAGACTCCGTCTCAAAAAAAAAAAAAAAAAAAAAAAAAAGGCCGGGCGCGGTGGCTCAAGCCTGTAATCCCAGCACTTTGGGAGGCCGAGGCGGGCGGATCACAAGGTCAGGAGATCGAGACCACAGTGAAACCCCGTCTCTACTAAAAATACAAAAAATTAGCCGGGCGCGGTGGCGGGCGCCTGTAGTCCCAGCTACTCAGGAGGCTGAGGCAGGAGAATGGCGGGAACCCGGGAGGCGGAGCTTGCAGTGAGCCGAGATCGCGCCACTGCACTCCAGCCTGGGCAACAGCGTGAGACTCCGTCTCAAAAAAAAAAAAAATAGCTGGGTATGGTGGTGCACACCTGAAGTTCCAGCTTCTCGGGAAGCTGAAGCATGAGAATAGCTTGAACCCAGAGGCAGAGGTTGCAGTGAACCAAGGTTGGGCCACTGCACTCCATCCTGGGGGACAGAGAGAGACCCCATCTCAAAATAAATAAATACATACATACATGCATACATTTGCCAAAATGTTAAACCATGCTATTCTTCCAATAATTTGTTGCTTGGGGAAATAGAGTAATTTTGCATTAAAAATGTTAGATATGTTAATATGTAATGGGTATGTTATTGTTATTTTTTTAACGAACTTCATTTTTTTTACATTTCTCAGTTTCAATTCCTACTATGGTAAATACTCATAGGTATAAACCCACATAAACTAAAGATCTGTAGTTCTTAATAATTTCTAAGAGTAAAGGGATTCCAAGACAAAAAGTTTGAGAACTGAAATTAAAAAGTGCTCTAAAGCTTAAAAAAACATAAACCCTTCACTTACGTTCAATTCTATAAATATTCTTTGCAACTAAATGCAAGATGTTATGGCATCCAGACTCTGCTCGTAAGTATCTGCAGTGATCCATACCTTGATTGTGCATCTACTCTGCATCCCGAGGACCTGAACATGCTAACTGGTGGCTGCAGATTTGTCTTCTAAGGAGCAAGTGTGGTCTGTGGACAGGCAGCTTCAGCCTCACGTGGGATTTTGTTTACACTAGTCAGTGCCAAGCCCTACCCTAGACCTGTTAAAGCGGAACTGGTGTTTCACACGACACCCCAGGAAATTTGTGCGTACCTTAAAGTCTGAGATGCACTAATGTAGTGATTCTCGGGGGACAATTTTGACCTCCAGGGGACAATATCTGGAGACATTTTTGGGTGTCACAACATGGTGGGGGAGGATGCTACTTGCATCTAATGGGCTGAGGCCAGGTGTACTGCCAAACAGCCAGCAATACGGGGCCAGCCTCCCCCAACTCCTGCCCACAGTAAAGAGTTACCCCGCCCAGATTGTCAGTAGTGCAGAGGTGGAGGAAACCCTACAGCCGTGTGACTCATCTGACCTTTACTGTGAATTCCTGGAACTCCTGGTGCATACCATTTCTGTTACCCTGGCCGATATTTCCACCTTTTCTCTAGATTTTATTAAAAGAACTCATTCTGTTGATCCCTAGGAATCACCTATTGCCTTGCTATGTTTTGTTGAACCTGTTTTTGAATATGCTTTCTACATAGGGGAAATAGGAGTACGTTTGTAAACCTTAGAAGCTACGTACACTATAAGGAAATCACCGGACATGTGGATAAGCTTTGCAGAGGTGAAGGGCTGTCTCCACCAGAGACACCCAGGAGTCAGGGTAAGCCTGACTCATCATGAGATCAGGTATCCCAATCCACAGCGGACTTCCACAGCTCACCTTCCTAGGTAACCGCTCTGCCTTCCCAGGTAAAGTATGAATAATATCAGAACTTACAGCATATTTTGAGGTCAAATTTATAGAATTTGGTGATTTCATTTTTATTATTACTCAACCTTTTATTTACAATAAATTAATAAGGCTATTTACACATAACAATGTGTGGACATACACATTAAAATAATCATTTGCTGCCTAGCACTCCTACCTAGGTACTTTAAGAACATCATTGAGTGGATAAGTTACCCACTCCTTCTGCTGGGTAAAATACTTTGCACAATATCAACTGAAATGATACCTCTTCCAAACTGTAATGGCAGAAGTAGGTATCCCCTCTTTTGTGCTGGCATCACGCTTGATGCACACCTGCCTTATCATACTTAGGCCAGTGTCTCTGTTACTGGGTTTCTGTCTTCTACTGTGAATGGGTGAGCCCATAAAAAACAGGGAATGTGTCTTACAAAATGTTGTATCCTGCTCATTTTGATGTGAAGCTATTGTCTTCCTTCAGTAAAAACAGCATTTCTGAGGTCTTAGCATCAGGAAAATCTCCAAGTGGGTAAGGTTAAAGAAAAAATTATTCATGACATTTGTTCAGTGTGGTGCAATAGTCTGTTCTTACACTGCTATAAATACCCAAGACTGGGTAATTTATTTATTTATTTATTTATTTATTTATTTTATTTTATTTATTTATTTATTTATTTTTTGAGACAGAGTCTCGCTGTTTCGCCCAGGCTGGAGCACAGTGGCACAAACTCGTCTCACTGCAAGCTCCACCTCACGGGTTCACGCCATTCTCCTGCCTCAGCCTCCTGAGTAG